GAAGCCTCCTTAGAATTCTCCACTGGTTTCGAAGCTGCTTTCGACAAGTTATTCTTTTGCACAACAGCATATTCTGGCAATGCGGCATCCTGAATTTTATCGGTACCGCCATTTTTACTTTCTTTTGAACCATTCTGAGATTTCTTTTTCTGCACAACAGCATATTCCGGAATTGTCGGCGAAACGTCGTCGAATCCTTCTATCATTGCATACTCTGGACTCTTCGGTAGTTCAGGTGGACTGACGGCGGCGATACTTGCTGGTCGTTCCCTTCTATTGGCTGCAGATGAATTTCTGATAGGTGGAGGTGGTGGTGGAGGTGAGCGTGCCGAGCAAAAGCTTGCTGATCTCGTAGCTGGATTAGCAAAGTCACTGACTGCGCTTGCCGAGCTCTGACATGTATCAACGAATGATGATGAATGCTGGACCTGACTCTGGGCATTCTGCGAATTCAGGGAAGTTTGAACTAGCGAGTGATTTGGATCGGAATTGTAACGATTTGGTCTAGTCTTGGAGAAATGGCTAGTCCAATTTCGTTGTTTCTCAATAAGCTCCTTTGAATTTGGCCGGCGCTCCGGCTTTTCCGGTCGCTCCGGACAATCATTTTCCTTGCCTAATGTCCGTTCGACTTTACCCAAACCTACGCCAGAACGTCGTTCCGCGGCGCAGTGACCGTTCTCGAAATGCCGCTCCGCATTCAAAGTCGGTACACTGGCGCTCCATGTGCTTAAATGTTCGCGGCTGCCCGGAGGAGAAGGTGAATGAGGACGAGGTGATCTTGCAGGCGAAGTACATCCGGAACCCGAGTTTGCAGAGCTCGAACGAGACCGGAGACCGTGCAAATTATTCGGTTTTGTGATCCGCTCTACCCTATAAATTAAACATGCAATTAAATAATATTAAAGTAAATTAATATTAAAGTAATTCTATAATATAATATTACAATGCCACTAAATCTTTGTACTTATAAATTATATTTTAGACTTTTTATGTACGAGGAAATTTGGAGTAGAATCTGTCTCCTTAGATTTGATGTATGTATAGTATTTTTCCCCATTAATTAAAGTCACTTGATGCCATTTTCAGACATTTGTGAAAAAAATAAATTTTTAAATTTTGTATAATTTATAAAAATAAATTAGCTAACGATTGTTAGCTAACGATTGTAGCCAAAAATGAAAGATAAGCGATTAGAGTAAAATACTATGTGATGCAGATTTGAATCTTGTTTCTTTCTTTGTTCAAAATTTACATTTATATGGATATGATTGTAACATTTTTTAACAAGAAAATTATAACTTTACAATAATATATTCGCCATATACAGAAGCCAAATAAATTTTACAATTAAATACTTGTAAAATAGACTAATAGATTATAATGTCCTTATAGACAATTTTATTAGCTAAAAATAAACTTTTACGTGAGTTAAATTTTATTTTTTGAAATCTCCTTAAAGGACAAAAATAATATATAAAATTTGCAATACGTATAATTATAATTATTACTGTATAACAAATATATTTATTATAAAATTATAATTTTTGTAGGTTAACTTTATACTTCTTAAACAAATTTCCTTAGCCTAATTGATATAAAATTTTTTTTAATGCAATTTCTATTCTAATACGTAGAAAAAGATTATATTTTAAATTTAAAAGAATTTAAAGATCAGAGATATTTTTTCTAATGTCATAAGTTTTTGGAATTGGATCGTAATAACATCAAATTGATTTCTTTAATATACTTTCAAAATATTTGACAGCAAAATAAGTAAAATAAAATATAGAAAAATATTTAATTTTATTAAAATCATATACAAATTTAAAAAATTACAAATGTAATATATGCAAAAAAATCTTTTCATAATATTTTATAATTCACGTAATATATATACAATGCCTCGTATTGAATTTTTTTACAAATAATTAAAGATATTAATGCTGTTTAATTGTATAAAAATAGAAAAAAAATTTATAATTTATTTAAAATATAATTTGTACTAATTATTCATTTATACTATGTATAGATTGTTGTATAGATTGTTATATGAATTTCATTTATTTATTATGCAATAAATTTCTTGTGTTATTTTTGAATTTTTTTCAATACCATATACTTCACAAATTTCAATGTAATTATTAATTTAATAATTGTATATTTATAATTTTTTAATATTACACATTTATAATACAAAATAAATGTAAAATAAAAAGAATTATAAATTTATTAATCTATATTCTATATACTTTATTTTGTGTACTTTTATAACATACTTTTCATGTAGATCTAACAGGTTATGAGAAATGAAAAAGATATTGTGCTATTTAACTTATAAATCATTAGCATAATATGATCGATACATTTTTCATATATGTATCTGTCATAACTATCTTAAAACTCACATTCTTAAAGATAGTAAAAATTTTAAGTTTTAATCAAGTTTTATAAATTCATATATAGCTTTAAGATTTGTTAGAATATTTAATAATAGAATATAATTTCGTTATAAAAAGTTGTAAAATTAATTTATGTAATAAAATAATAAATAAAATTAAAGACAAATTTATATAAAAATAATGTAATTAAAAAAATTCGAGAAACTAATAAAATTATATAAATAATTTAAGAAAAATAATATAAATTTCTATAATTCAAATTGCACACTTACGGTTTGCTCAATTTGTTTTCTTCGCCAAGTTTTTCAAAGAGGGCTCGCGCATTGTTGAAACGTGCTACATGACTTTCAGTCCTAACTACAGTTACTTGCGTTGGAGATTCCTTCAATGGAACAGCTGGTTCTTTAAAACCATCTGAGAGAATGTTATTCGTTCTGTGACTAAGATTATCCAGTTGTGGTTTGGATTGGAAGATGTTTGCGATGGCTGATACCTTGGAACCACCCACTCGCTTTTTCTCCTCTATCGCTGCCATGTCTAGCACAAAATTGCATAAAAAGATATATTTAATACATTTTGAACATTACATTTTATATATTTTTACGCACACACATATGTGTGTGTTATATTTATTAATATTTAATAAAATATAAGATTAATACTTTACCTATGGCTGACAATAAATGTATATGATATTTATATGTATGATTTAATCATTTAGCATTTCAGCCCATTGTCATTCATATGCACTTAATAAACTTCATTGTAGTAACCTATAAAATAAAAAAAAAGTCATTAAATTTATAATTTATTCATTAATTATTAAAGATAAACATCAACATATCTAAATATATTTGTGAGTACATTCAGATATATAGTAATTTATCTTACATATAAGATATATAAGTCATAAGTCAAATATAATCCATATTCAATTATTAATTAATTAAATGCCCTTTTATATTTTATTCTTGTTTTGTTTATTCTGTTTATATTACTATTTTCAAATAAATTTTGAATTATCATTTATATTAATTAGAATATTTTTAATTTAAATTTCTAATAAATTTAAAAAATTACATTAAATTGTTAATAAAAAAATAATTATTTTAAAATAATTATGCAATAAATATATTATGAACGTAAAGTTCATTTCGATTTCATATTTTTATGTACATCAAAGAACACACATTTTCTGCCATTGATGCCTATAGTTACTACATATTAACACAGTTGATTGGATTTTCTGACCTTTAAAGAATTTGAATACCTATCTACCTCTAAAGAATTAATATTGCACATTTTTTCCCCAATTATGCTATTATTATGATATATATTTAAAAAATGTATTTCATTTAAAAAATAACAATACATATAATAAAAACATACAATACAAGTATATAATTCTTTACAAATACATATTAAAATAAAAATTACAAAAACAAGAGAAATAGTTTCATCAGCGAAGAAAAATCATATCTCAAACAATATCAAATAATTTCGTAAAATAAATTGTCAATCAACATTGTATATTACATACACGCGCGCATGCGCGCACATTTAATAATGTATTTAATAATATAAATTACACATTTTGTGTATGTATGTATGTATGTATGTATGTATGTA